CCAATGCCATTTCCTCCCCAATGTACCCCCTCTACAATTCTCAGTTCCTCCCCAATGTACCTTCTTTACCATTCTTATATCCTCCCAAATATTACCCTTTCACCATTCTTATATCCTCCCCAATATTACCCTTTACCCTTCTTATATCCTCCCCAATATTACCCTTTACCATTCTTATATCCTCCCCAATATTACCCTTTACCCTTCTTATATCTTCTCCAATATTACCACATTCTTATTTCCTCCTCAGTGTAACCCCTTCCCCATTCTCAGTTCCTTTCCGATGTAACCGTTTTACCATTCTGATTTCCTCATCAATACAATTCCTTCACCATTTTTATTTACTCCCCAATGTAACCCCTTCTCCAATCTCAGTTCCTCCCCAATGTAACCCCTTCTCCAATCTCAGTTCCTCCCAAATGTAACCCCTTCTCCGATCTCAGTTCCTCCCCAATGTAACCCCTTCATCATTTTTATTTCCTCCCAAATGTAACCCCTTCATCATTTTTATTTCCTCCCCAATGTAACCCCTTCATCATTTTCATTTCCTCGCCAATATAACTCCTTCATCATTTTTATTTCCTCCCCAATGTAACCCCTTCCTCATTTTCATTTCCTGGCCAATATAACTCCTTCATCATTTTTAGTTCCTCCCCAATGTAACCCCTTAATAATTTTTATTTCCTCCAAAATGTAACCCCTTCATCATTTTTAGTTCCTCCCCAATGTAACCCCTTCATCATTTTTATTTCCTTCCCAATGTAACCCCTTCATCATTTTCATTTCCTCGCCAATATAACTCCTTCATCATTTTTATTTCCTCCCCAATATAACTCCTTCATCATTTTTAATGGATAATGGGTAGCGTTGGGAAGGAAATTAGAATGATGAAGCGGTTTCATTGGGGTGGAACTGAGAATGGGGAAGGGTTACATTTGGAAGGAAATGAGAATGGTAAAGGGTTACATCGGGGAGGAAATGAGAATATCCCCTTCACCATTCTTATTTCCTCCCGAACGTAACCCCTTATCCATTCTTATTTCCTCCCAAATGTAACCCCTTCATGATATGCATTTCCTCCCCGATGTTACCCCTTCCTAATTATCAGTTCCTCCCTAATGTAACCTCGTCATTATAGGTATTTCCTCCCCAATGAAACTCTTTCCCCATTATCAGTTCCTCCCTTATATAACCCTTTCATTATAGGTAGTTCCTACCCGATGTAACCTCTTCCCTATTTTTTTCCCCCATTTAACCTCTTCCCCATTCTCGGTTCCTCCCCGATGTAACCTCTTCCCCATTCTCAGTTCCTCCCCGATGTAATCCTTCCCTATTTCCTCCCCGATGTAACCTCTTCCCCATTCTCAGTTCCTCCCCGATGTAATCCTTCCCTATTTACTCCCCGATGTAACCCCTTCCCCATTCTCAGTTCCTCCCCGATGTAATCCTTCCCTATTTACTCCCCGATGTAACCCCTTCCCCATTCTCAGTTCCTCCCCGATGTAACCTCGTCCCCATTCTCACTTCCTCCCCGATGTAATCCTCTTCCCCATTCTCACTTCCTCCCCGATGTTATCCTCTTCCCCATTCTCAGTTCCTCCCCGCTGTAACCTCTTCCCCATTCTCAGTTCCTCCCCGCTGTAACCTCTTCCCCATTCTCAGTTCCTCCCAAATGTAACCTCTTTCCCATTCTCAGTTCCCCCCCAATGTAACCTCTTTCCCATTCTCAGTTCCCCCCCAATGTAACCTCTTTCCCATTCTCAGTTCCTCCCCAAAGTAACCTCTTTCCCATTCTCAGTTCCTCCCCAATGTAACCTCTTCCCCATTCTCAGTTCCGCCCCGATGTAACCTCTTCCCCATTCTCAGTCCCTCCCCGATGTAATCCTTCCCTATTTCCCCCCCGATGTAACCTCTTCCCCATTCTCACTCCCTCCCCGATGTAACCTCTTCCCCATTCTAAGTTCCTCCCCAATGTAACCTCTTCCCCATTCTCAGTTCCTCCCCGATGTAACCTCTTCCCCATTCTCACTTCCTCCCCGATGTTATCCTCTTCCCCATTCTCAGTTCCTCCCCGATGTAACCTCTTCCCCATTCTCAGTTCCTCCCCGATGTAACCTCTTCCCTATTCTTAGTTCCTCCCCGATGTAACCTCTTCCCCATTCTCACTTCCTCCCTGATGTAACCTCTTCCCGATTCTCACTTCCTCCACTTTGTAACCCTTCACGTCGTATATGATTGGTTTTCACTTGTTGTCCTGCACTTGAATCAATCCTATATTTCTATGCAGTTTCCCTGCACAGTAGTATTATGAATACACATGTTTTGACAGTCTTGTAAATGAGTCATATAAGATACTTTGTTATGTTCAGACGTTGCACCCATTTAATTTCCGGTGTGCATTTCCGGTATCAAACAGGGAAAGTATACAATTTATTGTGAAACAAAACCGCAATTCTAGATTAAAGGTTATTCAAATAGCAATATTACAAATATCTTATATGAGAACAGAGCAGAACTTGTGTCAATCCTAGCGGTTTTATTCTGCTAGGATTGGGTGGGATTTTGCTAACCTGATACATTATGGCTTATTGACGCGTCTCTTCAAGATAATCTACAAATAAAATGTATCGTATATCAACATCTTGTCTCTTTTTATTCAGGTCATAAAGATTAAAATGAAAATAAAACTGTCAAAAATTATATGCGCTAGCAGTCTACTACTGATGTCAGCGGAACATTCTTAACATTTTAGTATATTAATATGTGAACTATAGCCGATGGTTAAGCTATCAAGTATTTGTTTTTGAACAAAGTCCACAATCATGTATACGTGTCAGTGTGTCCATTATGAATCAGACGTATCTGCTTGTTCTAAGCGTGATTAACGTTGAACCAAATGAATTTATACTTTTCTAAAATGCAGACTTAATTTTGTAGACATTATATGTATATCTTAATAATTTAGGCAATGGTGTAGGATATGTGTAATACAGCTAATCGTACCTATGCAGTACTTACTAGAAATATAAAGTCGGTTTCATATGGTAGATTTTGTTTTACTGAATCTATGCTGTGTTTAAGATTATTGGTGTCCGGTTAAATTTCTTAAATGTGACATGAAACGTCACACTTTGAACCATATATTTGCAAATAAAATACCTTCTTTACAATTATTATAAGTTTGCCTTTGCTTTTCTCATGATTTTTACCTAACTCAATCTTTATTTTAATGATACATACAAACTTTCAATTACTATGACGAGTTTTTTACTTATACGTACTCACCGAATGGATGCTATAAAATACTATATGCTGTCGTCGACCCATGCGCAGCAGAGTCCATCACCTTGTTACGTCATCAGAGTCCACAACCTTGTTACGTCAGCAGAGTCCAACACCTTGTTACGTCAGCAGAGTCCATCACCTTGCTACGTCAGCAGAGTATATCACCTTGTTACGTCATCAGAGTCCATCACCTTGTTACGTCAGCAGAGTCCATCACCTTGTTACGTCAGCAGAGCATATCACCTTGTTACGTCAGCAGAGTATATCACCTTGTTACGTCATCAGAGTCCATCACCTTGTTACGTCAGCAGAGTCCACAACCTTGTTACGTCAGCAGAGTCCATCACCTTGTTACGTCAGCAGAGCATATCAACTTGTTACGTCAGCAGAGTCCATCACATTGTTACGTCAGCAGAGTTTATCACCTTGTTACGTCAGCAGAGTCCATCACCTTGTTACATCAGCAGAGTATATCACCTTGTTACGTCAGCAGAGTCCATCACCTTGTTACGTCAGCAGAGT